TGCATTATCTAGGACTCTAGGAATTCCTAAGAAGGAATTTCTATCTATGTTGCTGTACTTTTGGTGTATTTACTAAGGTTTTTTGGGAGTCTTTGGACTTTTAACTGCTTTCTTGGRCTTCTATGAGGAAGTTCATTATCTAAATATTCCATTTCCAGTTCTCATCGGGTTTTAACAAGTTTTATCCACAGCCAACGAGATAATATTTGATCCGGTCGGAACCGGTCGGAACCCCTTCAGTCACCTCATTTGCTTTACTAGGTTGTGTTCGCTTCAATATACCAGTAAATTAGGCTACGAATCCCGATGAGAACTGGAAAGGAATATTAAGATAATGAACTTCCTCATAGAAGCCCAAGAAAGCAGTTAAAAGTCCAAAGACTCCCAAAAAAAACCAAAAACGCAAGGAAGTTGTCAGTATGCCATACATTTCTTTGTAAATCAAGAAGAACGTGTTGCTACTATGACGTCCTAGCCCAGTCTCCCCTGTCGCTCGGTCATATTTTGAAATCTTCCGATTTTCGCCCTTTTGACCGCTTGAAAAAAATAGAAAGAAGBGTCAGAATCAAAAAATTCTTTCGACACGTTTCTTAGAATAGCTTATATTTCGATATAAAAAAGTAAAAAAAAAAAGGGTCATAGGCAGTTTAAATAAGATTCCGGATGGAAATTTTATTTGTCAGATTTGTCTCATGGATTTCAAGAGACTACATGGCCGGCAGTTCGGCATGCATTTACTTGATAAAAATCCATCCCAGTCAATGCAATAACACAATATATTTCCAAACTGTCCTGTAAATATGATTAAGCATTGCCAAGCGATTCCAAAGGACATTTTACTTGTCGGACTGGATTGTTCAAAATAACTTTTCGGTTATGAAAAAAAGTCCTTTCACTAGATGTGAAATAATCGCTCCATTGTATAGTTCAAATCTAGTGAAAGGACCTTTTTCATAAACCACTCATGTACAAACCATTTTTTTCCATTAATTTTCTTTTTTATCTATTTTATTTATTGTTTTGTTCTGCTTTGAGGTAAATTGTAAATTATGTGGAATAAATTCACACCTTCCTGACGAGGACCGTTAACCTTTTCCTTCGCAATAAAGCCATATTTTTAGTAATTTCTAATAACTACTGCGTCAAAGCAATAATGATAAGGYATCTTCGAACGTCTTTATTCATTCCCTGTTGGATAAAAATGAAACGAGATGGTTGAATAACTGTAACAAAAATACAGATTGTCACAGAATAGCCTTAACCTTTTCCTTCATATAAAAGCCATAATTTTTTAGTAATTTCTAATACCTACTGCATCAAATCAATTGTTTAGGGTACGTTAGACATTCTACATTGAATTTAACTTGAAATACCAAAGRAAAAMAAWTCTCRATTCCGACGCTCCACCTAAGAAAAGTCCGATCCAAGGGGTTAATCCAGGTTGGGATTTTCCACAATTTTGGATTTTGAGGCAAAAAGTACCATATTCTTATAGAGCAAGTGAAATAGGTATCGMTGGTGTAATTTGTTTTACTTTATTCGTAAACAAATCATGCTCTTATGAGCATCAAATGTATGAACCCTCGAGCCAAGCGTATGCCTTAAATTACAACACACCTTCCCCTCCCCCAATGAAGTACGTGCTACATTTGAATTTTTTGCAGCCAAAACCTTACGCTAATTATAGCAGATTAAAAAATTGTCTTCCCTCCACGAAATCACACCTAGCATTTTAAAACCAAACGCGCCGATCTCTTTTTTCAAATGCGCTGTGACATTGATCTACATGGTATCAACGAACTTCTAACGGCTATCTAAGCATGATTTTTAAAAGTAGCATAGATAATCCAAATATTTTGTTATCCCTTTTGTTTGAGGCGCTCTAGTCGAWTCTCAAAGTCCCCGATAAGCTGTACTTATTAYRATATGACATAGCATTAGTGTGGTATACTCATAGTCCATGTGTCTAATAAGACATAATATCACACACCTGCACCCATCCAATCACCTGGACTGCGTGWATCCAATATCTAGATGGGATACTCGCAGTCCAGGTGATWGAGAGAGACTAGGAAGATCATAATTGCCAAGGAAATTTTATTCAGTCGRCTAGTAGTTGTAACCTACGATAGTATGAATTAAGCTATAATAAATATTTATATGTAAAAAAATGGCTAACTCAATCACCTGGACTGCGAGTATGTTATCTAGCCATCTCTTAACGTGCTGGCTAGAAGGGATACTCTCAGTCCAGGTGATGGAGAGAGACTAGGAAGATCATAATTGCCAAGGAAATTTTATTCAGTCGGCTGTTAGTTATAACCCACGATAATATGAATTAAGCTATAACAAATATTCATATGTATGAATATGGCTAACTCAATCACCTGGACTACGAGTATGCTATCTAGCCATCTCTTAACGTGCTGGCTAGAAGGGCATACTCGCAGTCCAGGTGGTTGAGAGAGACTAGGAAGATCATATTTGACAGGGAAGTGTTATTTAGTCGGCTAGTGGTTGTACCTTACGATAGTATGAATTAAGCTATAATAAGAGAGCGACCATCCAATCACCTGGACTGCGAGTATCATATACCTAGATACTGGTGACACGGGTATTTGTTTTCCCCCCGAACAACAAGATGTTTCATAGGAGGGGAGGGGAGGGTGGAACACAAAACACTAGTGCCCAGTATTCGGGGGAATACACTGCAAATAAACATGGCGAACAGTTCCGATGCAAAAYCTCTTCATACGACTTTGGAATGCAATAATTGCCATTCAAGGTAYGAGTAACCGGAATACTTATTTTCTAATGCTTAATAATCACAATAACGTATATTCTGTAGCATTTAAGAGTTATGGTAAAAAAAGCCAAACGCAGCATTCGTAAAYTTTTGGTTAAGACCAAAATACGAGAACAATATGTCTTTTTACTCGTGATATTATAGCAATACTCCCTTTGCTAGATCGCGTAAGACCGCTGGAAAAAGATATTGGGGCGCGCTTCGATAACTTGGAATCGAGGCTATCCCTGTATACGAACTCATCTCTCTGTGACAGATATAAGAGGTTTTTAGTATTAGTTGCTGTTAAGAAAGCTTTTTGATCGTTTCAACGAC